CGGGTCTCGAACCCGCGGGCTCAGGCCATTCACTCACCTCAGCCTCCCAAGGTGCGGGATTACAGGCTGAGCCACTGAGCCCGGCTAGCCAGTTTTTAAAGGGTGAGCTTCCCGCTGGCTTTGGAGGTATCTCCTGTCATCTAGAGATCCGTGAAACCTTGCCTCCCTTCACACATGGTTGCAGATCCTATACACACAAGCCCAGGGTGAGGGAAGCAGGCATAGGGGCCAGGCTTGGGGAGAGCAGCCCTGCAGATGGGGAGACTGGCGGCCCAGACTTGGGTGACAGTGGTGGGGCATTGCCCTGTTGCCCAGGCTGGAGTGCAGTGACCTGACCTTGGCTCACCAGCCTCAACTTCTTGGGCTTAGGCAGTCCTCCTGTCTCAGTCTCCTAAGTAGCTGGTACTACAGGCACGTGCCACCATGCCTGGCTATTTTATCTATTTTTTTTGGTAGATGAGGTCTTACTTTGTTGCCCAGGTTGGTCTCGAACTCCAGGGTTCAAGCTATCCTCATGCCTCAACCTCCCAAAGTACTGGGACGACAGGCATGAGCCACTGTGCCTGGCTTGGAATAGTCTAGTTTTTGGCCCCTGTGGTCACTGCAGCCTGCGCCCCCTCCTGCTCCTGGCCTCTGGGCTTCCCCATGTTGGTTTCTCACCAGTTAAGAACAGCCAAGAACACATGCGGCAGCCACTCCGGATGAGGCGGCTTGGGGATGTGGCACTGCGGGCTGCCCGTTCTGGTAGCTCTGGGTCACGGGACCAGACATGTGGGGAGGGGCCTGCACACCAGACCGCAGGCCTGGACCCGCTGGTGGGTGGAGGAGCCAGCAGGGTACGGTTCCCTCTGGGAGGCGCGCCTGCATATGGGAGTGTGCTGGGTGCACAGTTGTTCTGTCTGCTCCTCTTCTGCAGGTGCCCAGTCCCCAGGAAGGCAGCGAAGGGGACGGAGACACTGACTGAGGCGTGTTCAGCCAGCATGGGCCCCAGGTGCCTCCACGGCTGGGGCCGCAAGAAGCTGGTGTCGCTGTAGCTGCGGGTTTCGCCCGAGCCGCGAGAGCCAAGACGACTCGCCATCCACAGGCAGCTGGCTGGTCCCCTCAGGATCCTGCCCAGCATCCCGCAACTTCACCCGGGCCGCCCACACGTGCTCACGGTGACAGAGGCGCGCCTCGCGCGGAGAGGCACTATTTTTCTAAAGAAGTGAATTTCTTATTAAAGAAGTATAGATTTTGCTTAGTAGATTTTTCTTTTGCCTGTTCGTTCGTTGTGTTTTACAATTTCTTTCATCAGGAGAGGTAAGCAGACATGATGCCATTTTGAGCATAGATACGGTAGAGCCAGATTTGGCTCCGCCCTCCACGGAGAGGTCTGGAGACCTTGGGGTGGGCCGGGGCAGAACTCTGGGGATGCCGGGTGCACTAGAGGGGTGGGGATGCCAGGTGGGGTGGAGGTGTGGGGCATGGCGTGGGGGCCGTGTCCGGAGCGCCTGCTGTGGAGGGGTGCCTGGCTGCGTGGGGTGAGCCTGGCCAGCGAGGCCTGCAGTCCTGCCATGTCCTGGTGGTGGACGTAGGGACCTGGGCTGCTTTTCCCCACCTGGCCCTCGAGCGTGGGCCCTTCATCTGGTCCAGGATGGCACCCTGCCTCCCACTGCCTCTGTGCCAGGTGGGGTGCCAGGGCAGAGGGAAGGGCTGTGTGGCTGCCATGGCCCTAAGAGTTGCTTGGAGATGGGCGGGAAGTCCTTGCTGGCTACAGGTGCATCCTGGGCCGTCTCTGCTGCGGGGGAGGGAACTCAGTGGTCTCCGGCCACCAGGAAGAGGAGCCTGAAGGGTGGGTGGGCACCCTGTGTGGCTGCTGTCGGGGCCGGGGGGCCTCAGGGAGGTGGTGTGCATGCTGTGTGCACGCAAATGTGGTGCCCATTTGTGTGCATCTGACCTGTGATGTGTGTGCATGGTGGGAGGCCATGTCGCATTTGAGGGCTTGGTGCACTGAGCCTGGACTGGGAGATGGGACAGGGGTGACTTGGAGGAGAGACAGCACGATGCATGTCAGTTTCACCTGGACGGAACCTCCGAAACTGCTCTGGGCAGCAGAAGGCGGCCTCGTGCCTGGGGTCTCGGAGTCTTCCGTGAAAGTCTGCAGCCTTGGCCTGAAGTGACTCCAGGTAATTCGGGGGTGACCATCCAATCACCTTTGATGAACCTGGGGATGATATTTTGAAACAACATATGTACATGGAAAAAACCAAAAGGCACAGGAAAGGGAAATTGCCTCCACTCCCCTGGTGCCCAGTGTTGTCATCACCCCGGTGTCCCTCCCCTCTCCCTGCTCCCAGTGCCCCTCTCCTGTCACCCAGTGTCCCTCCCCTGCCCTGGCGCCCAGTCCCAGCCCAGAGCCCACTCGCTTGCCAGCCTCTTCGGCTGTCCTGGAGTCCTGTGCACACACGAGGCGTTGGGGCTGCGTCTGGGCCTTGCCAGGGCTCACCGCCCTCCTGCCTTCTCCCTTGCTGTGTCTGTACTCGCAAGCGTGGGGCCCAGTCTTCCCCAGGCTGTGGGGCATGATCTTTCCGGTCTTCAGATTTTATAACCAGTAACCCTCCTGACAGAGTAATCCGTGCCCGCACATGTGTGTTCCTGGGAGAATCGATGATCTGAGGGTTTCCAGCGACCCCCAGAACAACGAGACTCTGACCACCCAGACAACTCCTGCTTCTGGTGGGACCCGGAGCCCGGGCCACGCCCCTGGTCTTCATCTGCAGCTGGGTGGCAGTGACCTGAAGCTGGTGCCTGGAGTGAGGGGTTCGGGTCCAAAATTCGCCACTGCCCTTGGCTTTGAGCTGATGGCTACCCAGCCTGGACCTCCTGTGCCCTGTCCGCAGCGGCCGCTGCCCTCCCTCCTCCAATCTCGCCCTACTAGTCAGGCTCCAAGAACCTCTGGCTGCCAGCGAGTCTGAGAAATGTGGTTTTTAACTTTCTGGCTTCCCAACAGGAGGGAGGAGCTAGGGCCAGAGCAACGCAAGCCAAGGCCGCTCAGCGGGGTAGGGGTGCTTATCTGAAAACTTCTGAGCAGCAGGCTCACTCAGGTTGGGCCAGCACCGAGCACAGAAGCCAGACCCTGGCTCAGCCTGTAATCACAGCACTTTGGGAGGCTGAGGCAAGAGGATTGCCTAAGCCCGCGGGTTTGAGACTCACCCAGGCAATTTGGCGAGACGTCGTCTCTGCAATAAATCAAAAATTAAAATTAGCCGGGCGTGATAGCGTGCACCTGTAGTTCCGGTTACCTGGAAAGCTGAGGCAGAAGGATCGCCGGAGGCCAGCAGGTCGAGGCTGCGGTGCCTGGGAGTGGCCACTGCACTCCAGTCTGGGCGACAGAGTGAGACTCCACCTCAAAAAAAAATAAAAAATAAAAAAATGAAAAGAATAATAAAAAAAAAAGAACGCAAAGGAAGCCCATGGGCGCCTACTGCTGGGTCCAGAGCCTCCAGCAGTTCTGTAGTCACCCAGGGCCCACTGGCCTATGGTCCCATGCACCTCCCTTCAGACTGCCTCGTCCTCCCCACACTGATGGCCATGCCCCCTCAGCACAGAGCTCCTCCCACCCGATGACCGTAAGATGGAGCTGCCCGGTTCTCCTGCATCCACCAAGCTCATGCTCCCTCCTGTCCTTCCTGTCCCCATTGCACGGGCGAGGTCTCCTGTCCTGCACTGGTCCTCCACCCCAGCTTCACCTCTTGCCTCCTCTGAGTGTGTGTTCTCTCTCTCTCTTACTTTTGAGTTGGGGTTTCCCTCTGTTGCTCAGGCTGGAGTGTGATGGCATGATCACAGTTCACTGTAGGTTCAACCTCCTGGGCTCAAGTGATCCATCTGCCTCAGATTCTCAAGTAACTGGGACTACAGGCACATGCTACCACGCCCATCTACTTTTTGATTTGTTGTACAGGCAAGGCCTCACTCTGTTGCCCAGGCTGGTCTCAAACTCCTGCTCAACCAATCCTCTCGCCTTGGCCTCCCAACGTGCTGGGATGACACGCATGAGCCACTGTGCCCAGCTAAATTTATCCTTTTAAAGTGTGTGATTCAGTGGCTTTTGGTAAACTCGCAAAGTTCTGCAACCATCAGCGCTATCTAATTTCACAACTTTTTTTTTTTTTTGAGTTGGAGTCTCACTCTCTCACCCAGACTGGAGTGCAGAGGCCGCTCCCAGCCACTGCAGCCTCGACCTGCTGGGCTCCGGCGATCCTTCCGCCTCAGC